ATTATCATATTTCAAATAAATATATCTGTTCAGTAATTATATTACCGAACAGATTTTTAACTACGTAAAAATGACTACAGAAAAAGTAGAATTAAAAGAATGTTTGAATCGACAAGATTGTTACTAGAAACTGAATCTCAGAATTCTTCATAGAGAAAAATTCATTCAAGTTTTACTATAAAAACATTTTGGACATTTGGAAAATATGGTTCTGGCACTTATAAAAATAAACTTTATAATCGAATTCGAAAAATATCTATCAACGATGTTGATTACTTCGAAATTGAAACTCAAAAATCAGGAATCACTTTTTTACTCGACATCAAAAATTATGGTGTAATGAAAAATTATATCTGGTATTGTTATAAACATAGAAATACATTCTATATTCGAACTACAGAAAACAAAAAATCTTTAAAACTTCATAGATTTATTAAATCCGAATGGAAAATGATTGATCATATAAACAGAAATGGTCTCGATAATCGTGAATGTAATCTTCGAGAAACAAATCCTAAGTTAAATCGATTAAATTGTAAATTACGAAGTGATAATACATCGGGTTATAATGGAATTTGTTTTGATAAATCTCAAAATAGATGGATATTTCAATGGAACGAAAATAACAAACAGAAATATAAATATTTTCAGATTACAAAAAATAGAACTAGTGAGCAAGCAAAACAGTTAGCAATAGATTTCAAATTGGAGCACGATAAGAAAACAGGAAACATGAACGGTTATAATATTAAGAATTCTAGTCAGTTTCTAACCGATTAGATTTTTTTATATGTAATCTGAAAATGACTACTGAGAAAAAGGTAAGTTGGCGAAGCTCAATTTTACTTAGTAATATAATTGTTTAGTGTACGCTTTTCTATATGCATTAGGGAATTATTCTGAGTAAAACTATTTGATTAGTTTTCGAGGATAATTCTTATTTCTGCTAGGAACGCGAGACGGTCTCTTGAGTTATATCTCTTGCGAAGTCGTCCGCTACCCACGGAGAGAATAAACAATTATACTAATATTTTAATTTATTTTAGGTTTCGAATTATCAGAAAGGTCATGATTTCGAAAT